ATTTTTTTTTAATTTTAGCACCCTGTATCTTGAGAACGAAGAATTTGCGGACCTATGCTTACATGAACTTTTTGTCTCAAAATTACATACGAGGTTTTTTTTTAAGTTTTGCATATAGAAACATAGTAGGCCGCGCGGATCGAACGTCAGTACTGAATCTTAACCTCACTCTTTAATAAACTTATTAAATTCAAAGTTTCACAACAATACGTGCAGTGTTCTCACTACAGTGAATTTTTAAGCGTCACTAAGCCATTAGAAAAATGGAACTCAACCGAGAACATTTTCGCGCCATAATTTATTACTACTTTCAGAGAAAATAATCAAATCCAAGCGGATAACCAAAATTTCTGTGTTATGTGCCGCGGTTATAATATGGTTCAAGATGACACACGGGTTGATGACGTCAGTTACACGAATCGCTTGAACGCGTTGGTTTTAACCGCGGTTTTGTTGCAAGTTGTTTATTTTAGAAAAGCGCGTATATAATCTCTGATTATTTTTATTATCACTTAATAATCGGTGCTTTTTCGTCTACAACTGTATATGGAAAGTTTAAATAAGAAACCTTTCATAATATTCATGGGAGAAATGTTTTTTCAGTTTTTTTTCATGATGGAACCATGGCTTTGTAGCTATGATAACTTTAAATTTTCTAAATTTTTCCGCATGTCAAAGAAAACATTTATTGATTCAGCAGAAATGATGCAAAAAGAAATTAGCAAAACCGTATACAGGTGGATATCATCTAGTGAGTTTATATGGCCATATTTTAATATTCTTGTGGTATATGGCTACACAGGATACTTTGTTAAGCATAGGGACTACATTTAAAGTGTCCCCAACAACCGTAATGAGTATAACTAATAAGGTGCTCCACTTTATGGTAAAACTGAAGTCAGCCAGTATCAATTTTCTCAAAAATGAAGCTGAAGTACAATAACAATATCCAATACCCGGCAAAATTCTAACTTGTCACATTTCAAATAATAACCAGAAATATAAAACTACTCTTGAGTTGGGTAAATACTACAATTTTGCGGTGATAACTATGACATATAACAGCTGATTCGTGACGTCACGGATCTTATAACCAAACTGATAACTACACTCGCTTGAACGGATCGGGAAATACCAACCCAAAATGGTAAATACCATTTCCATTTGGTTATCCGCTTGAATTTGATTAATTATCCCAACAAGAATGCCTTGCTGAGTTACTCTCTGTTTTCGGCAACGAAGCGCCACATCAGTCGACAATTTCCGTTGGTATGGAGAACTCAAATGTGGACGGGTGAGTCTTAGCGACGATCCCAGGGTGGGTGTACCAAAAACGGCAGTCACCCAGGAAAACGTCGATGCTGTGCGCAAACTCATCATTGAAGATAGACATGTGGCATATCGCGAGATTGAGGCGTCCTTGAAGATCTCAAAGACCTCAATTCAAAAAATTTTACATGAGAATTAGGAGTAAGAAAATTAGTTTCTCGTTGGATACCCCACCTGTTGACTGAAGATCAGAAAGCAGCCAGGCTTAATTGGTGTCAAAAAACCCTTGACTGTTTCAATTCCGGAAACTCAAAAAATGTGTGGAAGCATTGTTAGTGGTGATGCATCGTGGATTTACTGTTATGAACCAGAAAATAAACAACAGTCGGCTGTTTGGGTGTTCCAAGGTGAAGAAAACCCAACAAAAGCCATCCGTTCTCGAAGTGTTTCGAAAAAGACGGGCACGACATTTGTGTCAAAAGCGGGTCGTATTGCAACAGTTCCTCTTAATGTGCAAAGAACTGTTACTGCGGATTAGTATACCACCATTTGTTTGCCAAAAGTCGTCACCGTGCTTCGAAAAATCAACCCCGAAAGAAGAATCATCCTCCACCAAGACAATGCAAGCTCGCACACAGCCCAAAAAACAAAGCAGTATTTAACGGAAGAAAACTTTCCCGAAAATTAAAAACAGACTGCGTGGTCAAAGGTTCCAGTCACCAGAAGAAGCAGTTGACGCATTCAAAAATGCCGTTTTGGATCTGCCAGCAAACGAGTGGAATAAGTGCTTCGAAAATTGGTTCGAGCGCATGCAGATGTGTATTGATCTTCGTGGAGAATACTTCGAAAAACAATAAAGTCATTTAAAACTACCTACCGTGTTGTTTTATTTCCATATGCAAAACTTAAAAGACATCCCTCGTAACCTACGGCATCATCACCGTACGATTCCCTTGCAGATGTGTAAGAAGAAATATAATATTAGGTAAAATTATTTTGAGGTTATGCCGCATAAACTTAGTTACAAATGATTTCTGAAAAGGAAGATTATGTAAGTTACTTTTTTTTTTATTCATTTAATGTGTATCATTATATATCTTTTATGCCTATTATTATATCAGATGCACTATACTTACTTAAATATAAGTCTTGATGTTCCGCAGCTCACTAAAGCAGAAATCTCTGGCAAAAAAATGAGCAGCCATCAGTGTATCAATTTTCGCGAAATTTGTGCTTTCTGATTCACGAATCCAATGCCCATGAGTGTTTTTTTTTTTCATTAAAAAAGAAAACCAAACCTTTTTACGTTGATTAGGAGTTTTTTAGAAATATTTAAAGAAGACACCCATTAGACCACGTGTAACATACGGATGATGTTTCTTTGTTCACAATTTGTATGACGTCACATGGTCGATATTGTTTTTACTGTTTTGTATTAAAAATATATAGTATATTTTTTAAATTGGACTTATATATCCATATTGCACTTTTAATGATTGAAATCGATATATTCCGTTTTCCTAAGGCAAACAATGTAAGAAATACTCATTATTCTATGAAATTAGATATGTGTCAATAGGCATTAGGGCAGTATCGTCAGTCGTTCCTACAATTGTAGCACGCCTTTATGGCCTCCTTGATTTCCATAGTTTTTCCTCTCCTTCAGCAAAGCTGGGTTATTTCCGCGTCAGCATCAGCGCTCTCCTGTTGTCAGACTGTGTTTTCTTCTTGAATTGTAGGAAATTCCAGGCTATATAACAGATGATATAAATCAACACTGAAGAGTAGATAACTATGAAAATCAATGAGGCCATAAAGGCGTCATACAATTGTGGAAGCAACTGACGATACGGCCCTCATTGAGCCCAAAAGGAAATTGTAGATCCTGTGTCAACTATGAGGCAATAGCAGAACCACACGCTCTACCTCTTATTAAAGTAAATTTCTACGCTTAGTCAAACCCTACATTAAACTGAATTCACAATACAGTCGGAAACCTATACACCAGATGGTTTTTACAAACATTTCGTCGAAATTTTTAGCCATTTCTAGACGCCTGGCGGAATTTATATGACGCGTCTAAGACACCAAAAGTGATCTACATGCAGTTTATGTGATGGGATGCGCTGGAAGGTTGTATTTATGCAGTTAAAGCTGCGGAAACTGCAAGTTAGATATATAAAGAAAATAGAGTCAGGGATCCGGGTAACAAGAAATATCTTCATAATTATGCAAACAGATACAAATTTGCCAGACTATACATAGAACTTGGGACATTTGATTAAGGAAACAATGTTTGTGTATGTGTATGTATACTGATTGATAAAAATTATTGATACAGTGAGCCATTTTTAAGGCAAATGGACTTTATTCCAATACGTCTCCTAGATTACTATATTTCAACAATGGCGTCACCAGTATAATGACAAAACTGCATCTGCTTCAACTAAAATATTTTTTTTTCAAAGCGACTCATTACCAAAGGCTCTTGCTATCATAGTATCTCATTGTTTAGCCCTTACTTACAAACTAGCAAAATTGCATTGAGGCTATCCTATCCATGCGCCATTAATCCTTTTCTATCCGCTTGTGTCCTTTACGAGCCTGTATCTGTTTGGGCAACATCTGGAACGCTTTGTATATTTTATAATCCGCTGCTTATTTTTGAGTAGCTTTCAATTTTAGCAAAACATGTGTATGTATGTGGTTTGCGAAACTATCCTCTCTTATATAGGGTGTTCGAAAAATAAACGGAGATATTTTAGAGGGTGATTACTTGTTGAAAAATATGTTTTTTTTCTACAAACATGGGTAACTGCAAAGTTTTCAAGATACAGGGTGAGAAATTTAAAAAAATATATTATTATCTTAAAAGATATTTACTTGATTCTGTTGAAATTGGTATATTATTTTTTGTATTAAGAGGCTAATTTAGCCGTGAATAGATTCAAATTATTAGGTCTAGTGGCGTCACGGGGGGGCACCTTAGAGAATATCATTGGCAAAAAAATGTACGCCACTGTCCTTGTTTGTAACTTTAATGTTTGTTGTTTGGTTTAGTATCTGGAAATACAACTTCTTTGCCTCTTGTATTTTTTCGTATTTCACTTCGTTTTCGATAAAAAAAATAAAAACCTTTTTATTGCATATCACTGGGCAAAATTGGAGGCTCAACATTTGCGCGTCGGTTCTCCTAGAAAAGAGTTATTCACGTAATTTTCTTTGCGAAATTTCTCTAAGAAGCTTTTGAGGAAATGGCAGACATGCATGTGCATACATTACAACATGCAACACTGCACATGAAAAAAGAATCCGAATATCCGCGTGAGTACGTGAATGAAAGGTTAATTACCCAAGACGCAAACTTCATTATTCCATGTATTCTTCAACATTTGTCTCCACCACATGTTTCACCGCAACAAACCTCTGGTAGCAGTTCACCAGCTACAAGGGAACCCTAGTTACCGCAAGTGTATTTTGTCCCGCAGGTGCTACAAATCTACCATTTTAAAAATATAGTATTTCGCATCCACATCGCATCGCAACTCTATAAATATTTCTTGGTCCTACAATCCGGTGTGAAGTTGGCAAACAAAATGAAGACTTGAAGTAAATAAGGTGCTAAGTGCCAAAATTATTATTTTGAGATAAACAATATTTTTCGTTCTATCGTACAATCAATGTGTTAAAAAAAACTCTCTGAAAATTTAAACATAGGTTTATTTAAGTAAGTATTTTTCTGTGTACTTAATATTTTCGGGAACTTTTTGCAAAAAAAACAGAAAAAAATTATAACAGTTACAAAATCATAGAATGTGTTAAATGCCGTTACAAAAATATAAATATTATGTGCTAGGTGCCATTACAAAAATATAAATATTGTGATAAATAATAACGAAATAATAATTAAAAAAACGTAACAAATTTAGCTTCTGTTGAATATTAGTATTCAATAGATTTTCATAAAATTGTCATTTTGTTCCTTAAATAAGGAATCATTGCCAGCAGATAACCACGCACTTTTTTTCGTGTCTCTAGAACTTCACTGTTGTGTAAATATGTGACTTCCTCAGCTCATAAGCCCACAGGTTACTAGGGACAGGAAACTCCTACAATTTGATATGTAAAAATGCGAAAGGTGAAAAGACGTATGCGGGTGGATCAAATAAAACTAACATTTTACAGAAGACATGCGAAAACAGTGTTTTCAATGCCAGGATATGGATCATATTCAGGGTTTTTCAGAATGACCTGCCAATACTTCCAGGGTAGAAAGTTCGTCCACAAATATCAAAAAAAGTTTGTATAAATATGAATCCAAAGATGCTGCCCTACCGAGATACACGGTAACGAAGTTTTATTTACGAAATAAAAAAAACGGAGAGGGTAAAGATGGTAAGCTCCTACGCCTCTGAGTGAGGGTAAGACACGCATATTATCCATTTAATGTTGTATTGAGGTGCCATAACTTTGTTCACCATCCCATATGGTGTTACCGAAATCAAACTTCACGGTGTTTTCAGAATAGGGGAGACTAAGCTAAGGCATAAGAATATTTTCGGATGCTACCTCAAATATTCAAGCCAAATATCTCCAAAGCGAGTGATTTGACAAAAATTCCTTAAGTGACAAAATTTATGAAAAATTGAATAGTATTTTATAAAATGCACTTCCTTTCTCCGAACAAACCAGCGGCGTGGACAATATTTCCTACTAGCGGTTCAGGTACTGCAGTTTCTACGTCCATGGTTTAGTTTGGGCTGAGAATAAAACTTCATCACCCTGTATCTCGGTAAGGGAGCATATGTGGACGTATACTTATAAGAACTTTTTTACTTTCTACCCTAGAAATATTGACACGTCTTTCTGAAACACCCTATGTATTGCGGTTTTCAGGTTATGTATCCAAACAATGTGAACTGCAAGAGAATAAGATTCGGTATCCCAAAAACTTTGGACTGTTTGGAGCGTCACAATACAAGGTATAACACAATAAATGCTTACTGGTTGGGCTTTTTATCATTCTTCACATTATGGTATTGTTTTCTGTCCAGTTTCTCCTGAAAAAATTAACGATAAATCAATCACTTACGCACTTCTGCTGCACCTCCTACGCTGTTGTACGTACAGGTAAAGCAATTTTAAAACGGGATAGCTGATAATATGAGTAGTGTTAGGAGCATTTTTCTTTTGAACAGCAAGCAGGAACGAGGAGATGAATGTGGCTGGCTGCTGTGCCAACACTTATACATATATCCCGATCCTTACGTCGAAAATACAGTAAGGCCCCTTTGCCTTCTGTATAAGCTGAAAAACAGTTCCCCTCTAAGTTCAGCAGATGTTGTCCGCCATCATAGAATAGACAGCTTGTCATTCAGGGAGATCACCTAGTTTATCTCTCTCTATCAGAAGCGGCGTACCATGCAAAGATTGCATAATCAGTAAGCAGGTAAAAGACATGAATAAATCCCCAGTTATATTGAATATCCGACATATGTGTATATTAGCACTCTAATTCCAGTTATTACTTGCTTACAAAATACATTTATCACTATTCAGTAACGTTACCTTACCTCCGCGACTTCACCTATTTTCAAAGCCTTCAAATTATTCTTGGCTTCGCTAGAATGCCCAATGTTAAGAAAATATTTGGTAGCATCTTTTCCTGCATGTTCTTCTATTATATCTCTACCTCCAGGATGCTGTAATTTAAACAATTGATTGCGAGGGTTGAATTATTTTTATCATTTTAAGTCATAAGGACAAATTATTATTATCAAATAACCGTTGTAAGTTTTAATCTTCCCGTTAAGTATTTACAAAACCAAAAATTAGACATTGCATCCCCCCTCAGTCATTTCTTCGCACCCTCCCCGTCCAGTTTCTTAGTCTTTTTACCACATCCCGTAGGCTCCCAGCCCATAAGCGGAAGTTATCGCCCACTTTGAGGCTTAAGAATTGTGATCTGTCCTCCTCGAGACCTTGCAACCCCCACCACCAACATTTATACCTCAAAAAGAAGCATTCTGAAATATAGTGAAACTATTTATGTCACTTTCGTTTTATACTTCCAACATTTATTACTTCCCACGCCTACTGGCGAGGCAGTAATTTTCGCGCGAAAAATTTCGAAAATAAGGTATTATGTTTTTTTTGAGGTTATAGGTCATGTAGATCACGAAAAACTATGTCACTCATTTCCGTCGGTCTATCTGACTGTCTGTCGGTATGTCCGCTAATCCCGATGACTTGAGAAGTACCTATCTGATTTTGATAAAATTTCTACACAATATTATGTAAGGACCCAAAAGTTATGTAGGTTTTGGAAATCGCTCCAGTGGCTCCAGAGAAAAAGGCCCAAAATGGAAAAAGTAGAAATTGCTCAAACTTCGTTTTATTGACGTTTCCTTTAAAACTCAGAAAAATATTCTCGGCAGTGTGTGTGTTCTGTTGTTCTGGCATGGTAGCACACGTATTTCTGCCGCATCACAGCATAGTGTTGCATATGCTCTCAACCCGTATCGAAGACAGGCGATGTTTTCCAGATCCACTACCGTAGGTAGGGCAGGAAAATATTGTCTATAGACTAATTGTATAGACCTGTTTGATTGACTTTTTTCTCAGATGATCTAGTTTGTGCTGAACGTATTCCTTTATGAACTGATAACGGTGTTGCGTTGGAGTACAGAGACAACTTACTTGACGCCATTTTTGTTCATACAGCGTCCCTACATGTTTTTCAGTTGACTATTTTTTCTGAATGGGTAATTATATCTCAAGAGAATATATTCAAGTACTTTTTGCTTATCTTGTATGTGCTAGACTACAACAAATGATTATTATTGCATCACTTCATATAAGTTGTCTCATGTATACATATATGTCACACTTCAGATATGGTAGGAAGTAGGCTCGCCAGATAAGCTCTCAAATCTTCCGTTTTCAAATACAGCTTTATGTACATATTCAGCGTCTTTCAAAAAGCGTCACACCCTACTTATTTTTTGTGTGGGTCAAGTTAGCAAGCTGAAATCCAGGGTGATGAAACTCATGCATGAATAAATACTATAGCTTAACGTAGAAATAACAGTTGAAACCCCAGTTGAAGCTCCTTGTCATCACTTTCGAACAATAGGCCATAAATTTATTATCTTGCAAAATCAGCCGGCTGTAAAATTAAGAGTCTTTGTCCATTGAATCGTTTATGAGTTGAACCTATAGTCAAGACCTTGTAGTATATTACATCAATATTTCCTTTTGGAATGGTCTATCCGCACGTGCAATAAGAGGACATATGGTTGAAAAAATTACAGATTGGCAATTTCGTTAAATGCAATGTTCCATATTTTATTATTTATTGGGATGAACCCAAGAAAAGAAGATTACCACTTATAGCGTTTTGATGGTTTGATGTTGAATTATAATGTACAAAAATGCTCAACTTGCTTGGCAATCCTCAATTCTAATGAGTAGTGATCATCTAGGTTTAGAACCTGCTTATAAGAAGCTTCAAGATGAGTTATCAAGAGACCCCCCTTTCTATTTAAAAAAATGATTCAAAGTGGCGCTGAGAAGGTACCTTGAAACTTTCAACTGCCGCGTATGCGCTAAACTATAATATAGATGCATCAGTTTCATAACCCCGAATTTCAGGTTGCTCACTTAACCCGTTCAGAGAATTAGTACCAAAGGACGTTTTGGAAAAACGCGGTATGCAAGTTATGGATTCACTACAACATGGCCTTATGGTATGTGACTATTCGCAATACAATTTTTATACCTTACACAACCTAAAGATGTAATGATAACACATTCATTAATACAACAACACAGACGAATTTACAATACAAGATTTGTGTACGTGCATACGTTTGCAACATATACATTTTATTAACGTAAGTTGAAAGTAAGCACAATGAAATATTTCCATATTTAATTTGAAGAATAAGTGAGCATCCTGAATGGTAAAGTATAAGTTTATTCCAAACAAGTATTCTTTAGATCGATAGCTTGATAAATTTTAGATCGAGGAGCAGATATTATTCATTTCTTTAACTCCTTTTTGAACTTGTTAATGTCTGTTGGTTTCTTTATTTCAGGTGGTAGAAGGTGATAAGATCTTGGACATAGAAACGTCCAACATCGCACCAATTTTTTCTTGCCTGGTTGGGGAATTTTTCATGAAATCATATCTAAGTATTTCTTGTATGATACTTGTATTCAACACAATTTAAGTTTTTTTTTTCATTTTTATGTTGGTTTGTGGCCATGGAGTAAAAACATAGTTGTCTTGTGTCAAGTAATTGTGTTTCAGTATACAAAGTTTCCGTTGGATACGTAATTAGTTTATTGTGTATTATTTTTGAAATTATTTTCTGTGCTTTCTCTAGAGCAGGAGTTCCCCACCATGGGGGCGCTCCTCCCAAGGGGGGCATAGAGAGATGTCAAGGGGGGCGGAAAGCGTTTGCATTTTAGAAAGAAAAAACAAAAAAATAAACAAACTACATTAACGAATAACATTACAATGTTTAATTTACAGGCATAAAATTAGAAATTAAATATCATATTCACTTATTCTGTCAACCGCTGTTTCAAAACCCGGCGTCGTCAATCGCAGTTTATACAAGCTTCGACAAGTTACAACATGAAATACGCGCACCCCCGCCGCGCTCCGCCTAACATTCATCACTTAGAAAACAATATTGTGTACCTACCAGACGCGGATGAGCATCTGTAACATTCATTCCCACAAACTTGCGAAAAATTTGAAGTTTCGATGTACATGTTTTGTTGAGAAATCTGTTTGAGTGTGTCAAATTATTGTGTCTCACTGTTTAAAGGTAAGTTTGTGCATTTACAAACTTCAGTTACCATTTTTATTTAATTTACTAAATTGTTGATTGAGTGGACACGCGTTCATAGATCGGCCGTTGGGACTTTTTTACGACATCACAATCAAACCAACGTGCAGAACTAATTTTGCAACGACGAACTTTAACTACCTAATATTGATTCCAAATGTATTTAAAATTACTATTATAACGTCAACCTGCCTACAAAAATATAAATCTCCCGGTGGAAAATATACTGTTGAATACATTAGATAAAATAATGGGCATATAATTAGTAATTGCATGTAGGTATTTTGCTTATTTATTTATTACTTTTTACGTTTTATTGTTAGTTTTTAGGTTAGGTTTTATTGTAGGTGCAAAATGGCAGTGAAAAAAAAGAAAGTTTTCCAAAGATTACATTAAGTTTGGATTTACCTTCATAAAAAAGGACGAGTTACAATTTCCTCAGTGTGTGATATGTATGAAAGTTTCAAGTAATGTTAGCATGAGTCCCAATCGCCTTGAAAGGCATTTGAAGCAACAACATCCTACTCTGGTATTGAAGACGAAAGAGTTTTTAGCATGATGTCTTTCTTTGGGGTAAGTAAAGTAATTTGAGAGTTCTTGTTTCTAGTATTATAATTATAATTCTTGTACAATACATAATTTTTATTTTTATGTTGATATTTAATAATACTTTTAATATAAATAATTAGTGTATATTAAGAATTTCTGTTTCGGCGTATAAAAGTTCAGATGGGTATGATATGGGTTTATTGTATATTACCTTTGGAATAGATTTTTGTACTTTCAAACAATTCTATTAGCACCTTATTTGCAGAGCCCAAACTGTTATTCCATAAGTTTTGTAAGAAAATGTTGCGATGTTTTGTCGTTTTTGACAAAGAACCTTGCAGCACACTTATAGAAATAGTGGTCGCTTAATTTCGTTGACTTTCTGTATGTTAGATGTTTTAGTGTCCTGAACAAACTCCAAAACTCAACGAGTCTCAAGATATGGTCCGTCTAAGCCAATGTAATGGAGGTATCGGTTATACTCAATTATCTGCTATATCCGGAAGAGTAGTTTCAAATTTAGTCCAAAACAACTCTTCCGGATAGAGCTGGTAGTTGAAGATAACCAAAATCCCTTTATACTAATCTAGGCGGACCATATCTTAATACGTATTTATTTTATTTTCTTAATCTTAATTATCGTAATCAATCACATTCATTCAAGTTTAATAGGCATAGTCTAAAATAATAATCATAACAGTAGAAGTCGCGAATGCTTAACTCCAATGTAGCATTAAAGTAACGCTATTGCAGGTATCATTAAGTTTAGATAACAATAGGGACTATTAACAGCTTTTTAGTTTATACCAGTGGTTCCCAAGCTTTTTTTAAGCCCACTTTAAAAATGTTGCTGGTTAACGATGCAAATTTTCACATTGGTAAAAGTAAAAATAAGAGTATTTCCTTATATCCCAATTAATAAACATGATTATGAACTTGAAAGTAATAAAATAAAAAATTAATAACGTAAAACGTACAACAATACAAATCTACAATGCAAAAATAGAATAAAAAATCAGAGTTTTAATGGGAAGGATCTTCTTGATGGATTGGCAGCAAATTTATCAATATTTGTTTTAGTAAGAAAAAGCGCAAATCTACAATACTCAATCTCCTCCTTTTTCTATTAATAGATTTGTAACAACACTAAGAACAGTGAAGATACAAACGCTATCAAAAATTTTGTCGCTATTTTCCGGCGTCCAGGATATTTTTCGGATGTCTGCCTGCTGCCAAAGTAGTTGATAGCCTTTTTTGAATTTCACCTTCAGCACCTCATCAAATGACTTTATGATCCATATTGGTATTTGCATCGTCAGAATATCATCAAATGCATCATGCTGAACATTTAAATAATAGACATACGTTTCTATATCTCCATCAAGACATTCTGCTTGTAACAAGATTGGATACTGGGAGAATTTGCACC